CTACTACTACTACTACCGCCACCACTGCTAGCGACTACAAGGACGACGACACCATGAGATTGCGACTACTCCCCCAGCCACACACCCCTAAAATGCAAGCCCTCAGCCCTAAACCCAGACACTCAGACTTACGAAAGGTTGGGTGTGCAATGCGTCTTAGTGTCGTCGAGACGTTCGGCGCGCCATGGCAGCGATCTGACAACCTCAGGGACCTTGGAGGCTGAGGATCCCGGCCCAAGGGATTTTGGGGGTTCTACGGATTCTTGTCGTTCTACAAGGATTCAGAATTATGGGTTTGTGGGGGTTCTAGAAAGGATTCTAGGGGTTCTAGAAGGATCCCGGCTTCTGGGGGTATGGGGGTTCTTGGGGTTTGGCCCCCTCCTGGCTTTGGGGCTTTAGGGGCTTAAAGAGTTTAGGGCCTTGGGATGTCTGAGCCTTCTGGCTTTGAGGATGTTAGGATCTTCAAGGTGCGTATGCTCAGGGTTGGGGGGTTTAGGTCCTACATGGGTAAATCTCTAAATTGGGGTCCCCTTTAGGGTCCCTTCTGCAAGGCCGTCGCCTTCTCCGGGGGCTTCTACAAGGGTTTAGAGAAATACCCACATGAATTGAGGGCGTTCGGGCTTCAGGGCTTCTTGTAGGGTTTAGGCTTTAGGTTTAGCGTCAACTAAGGCCACAGAAGGGCTCACCCAAAACAGCCACCTCCAAACCGGTCTAAGAAATGCTGGAGGTTTGACCGGACCGATTTGGCCTAAGGCATGGCCGGGCGACTGGGAACGGGCGCTGCCCGATTTCACCAAAACTTTGAGGATGCAATGAACTCGACCGACACCCCGCTTAAAGTTGCGACGTGAGCCCGGCCCGATGTTCATGTTCGCATAGCCACTTCTCTAGCCGCTCTATGTGGAGCATGCATGCCGGCAGACCCCCTATTCGTTTGTAAGCAGATAAATAAGTAAATAGATACAATCGAACCAGTACAAGACAGAAATATATGTATACACATACATTGATTATATATATATATATGTATATNNCCCCCCCCCCCCCCCCCACATCTCGGATCCTGGCGAGGGCAAAAGAGAGCAAGTGGGACCAAAATGGGCAGCTCCGAGCCCAAGCAAACGCATTCAAGACCGCAATCAGACACGATCAGGACCATTTAAGGAATCCTTACATAAAAGTTCTTATATCATAATAATAAACTGTTCTTATGCAGGCTGCATGAAATCAGGACAGGAAGCGAGGCCTTGAGTTCGAAGCCCATGCTCTCCCTCAAAATCCCTCTCCCTAAACCCTAAACCCTTAGAATATCACGCCCCTAGTGAACCGATGCTGGGAATCTCCGAAGAAATGGGATGGCTAACGACGAAACGAGGATCGGCCCTACTCTGCCGAAACACTGCCTGAGCCCACCGATTCCCCACACCACACATCTTCACCCACCTGGCCAAGCCTCCACCAGAGATCGCACTGTGGACCAACAAGCCTTAACCCCTTGCCCTCCAAAAGTTCGATACTGCCTTTGCTGACATGTCAGCTGAGACCCTGGCCCTACTCCAATTACACCCTAGCTTCTACACCAAAGAAGAGCCCTAAAGACAAACACTCAGCTCGATGACGCTAAACCCCCAAAATGAAACCCTAAACCCTAAACCCTGTAAGCAGTAAGCCCTAAATCCTAAACCCTAAACCCTGAACCCCCAAAATGAAACCCTGAACCGTAAGCCCTGTAAACAGTAAGCTCTCAACCTGATTGCCCCACTGCTTCCGTTCAGAGAGCAAAGCACCGTTGGGATGCGACCTGGTCATCCTTCAACTCGACACCTTTGGACGACCGACTTTAAGTTCTTCTGTAATCATCGTCGCCATCAACATCATCATCATCAACCTATATATATATAAATATGTATGTTTATATGTCTATCTAGAGAGAGGAGGATGTCTATTAGTGTGCATATGTATATGTGAACAGTTTGTATGTACGTATGTATGTACGTGTGTATGTATGTGTATGTCTGCATGCATGCATGCACGCATGTATCTATGTATATGTATATGCTTTTGTATCTTTGTAAATATACCGAATCGCTTTGGTTCTGATCTGGACGCAAACATCATGCATGAACTTCATTGATCTGCCTAAGTTCTGATATGGGATGCATTTGTTCGGCCTAGCTGTCTGTCTATGCATGTTTTTTGGGGCTTTACACCTGTGTAAGGTTGAGGGTTCACGCGGTTCGTGTGTTCAGGGGGATGTTGTCGCACGGCCTATAAATTACAGGGGGTCCGGCGCGTAAGGTTCCAGACATCGGGGTCCTAGGGTGCCATGTGGTCGAGGTTGAGACTAGGGTCTGGTATTGTAGTTATAACATGATTGAGCATGATCGCAAGAGCTGAAGTGTTGGGCCTTCCCCACATGACAAACCCACAGACTTTCAGCCTAAACCATCAACAAAGTGGTTACGGTGAAGCCTTGGTGGTCTAACAACACGAGGCATCAGAGCTCAAGTAGCTGTTGATGGTGGAAGTGGAGAAGCGTACAGTAGTACAAAGAAAGGCAACACCCTCACTCCGCGCCCCTAAACCCAAAAGCCACAAAAGCCACAACATTGAATAAGCCACGGAAATCTCAAAGCCCTGGGGACTTACGGCCTAGACCCTACCTCTCATGGGCGCCCGGCACTTTTTGTCGGCCCCTTCATCTTCTCCCGTTCCCTGGCGACGGTTTGAGGCTTCGGGCGATTAGAGGTTTCGGGTTTAGGGCTCCAAGAGGTTTGAGGTTTCGGGGTTTAGTCAATTCTGGCGTTTAGGGCGGTTTGGGGTTTGCTGACAGAACGATTCGCGGGACAACGGCCTTTCCGTCCAGGAACATGGGTTTAAGCAGATACGGTTCTTGATAATTCGAACAAAACTTTGGGGCTCTTAGGAATGACTTTACTAAGGTAGGGTTTAGGGTTTAGGGGTTTAGGGGTTAGGGTTTAGGGGTTTAGGGTCTAGGGATGAGTTCTTCGAAGTTGCTCCAATGCCCAAACCATCAAGCTCATCCCCAAAGCTCTTCTTGCACAGACTGCAGCAGCACCGCGACAAGGTTCAGGACTCCAAGCCATAACCCTTAAAGGAACCGTTACAGCTCTAGGATTGCTTAAAGTCTTAGAAGAAATTCAAAACCCCAAGCCCCATTATAAACCCTAAGCCCTAAGCCCCACTATAAACCCTCAACCCCAAACCCAAAGCCCCATTATAAACCCTAAACCCTAAGCCACGTTATAAACCCTAAGCCCTAAACCCTAAGCCCCATTAAACCCTAGACCCTAAGGGAACCCTTATCCTGAAAGGAATCAGACCCGGCCTGACCCGGCTGCCTGGAACTCAAATCAGGGGCATGGTGATTGGGGTTTAGGGTTTAGGGTCCAGGGTTCAGGGTTTATAGGGTGTAGGGTCTTTAGGGTTTAGGGTTTAGGGTTGGGGCTTCAGGGCTTAAGTTCCGCTTAGGGTTCAAGGCTCAGGGCTTCGGCGAGGATGCGGATTCATCAATGAACCCTGAACCCCATTAGCCAACTAATCCCTGGATCATCCTAAGGCCGTTGAAGCCCTAATCCCTAAACCATCCTACAGCCTAGAGCCTGATCCCTAAACCACCCTAACTTATAAGCCCTAACCCTATATCACCGTAAACCCTGACTCCTAAACCCTATAATTATGAACTCTAAACCCGATAACTCCTAAACCCGATGCAGCCCCTCAAGCTGAACCACCCTAAACTCTGGACGCCCCATACGCCGACACTAATGCTCTATAAACCCTATAAACCCGGTACTACGATCCCACGTCCTACAAACCCCAAGCCCTGATACCACTCCCAACCTAAACCACCCTCAACCAATCTAAACCGCATAAACCCCAGACAAAATTCCTGTAAACTGGACTCTACAGCCCATAAGCCCGATAAGCCTTGTAAACAATGAGACTGAAAACCCTACGCCCGAAGAACCCTATAAATAACCGTAAACCCTGTAAGCCTAAACACTTTGAGCACTATCTATCTATCGATCTATCTATCTGTCTATCTATCTATCTATCATCTATCGGTTCATCAATCAATCTATCTATCTATCTGACTATCTGTCTATTTATCTATCGATCACTCAATCTATAGTTGAACGCACGACAAACAGCGAGCGTCTCTTTT